GTTTTGTTGAACTCAATATATCCTAAGGAAGATTTTGAACCCAAGTTTTTTAAAATTGGTCATTCCTATTTATTTTAGAGAGGGGGGATACTTACTTATTGAACGCCCCTCGTACTTATATAGATTTTGGGGAGAAAAAGGTCCTGTATCTTTCTACTAACAATTTACCTTCTTCCCTGGATTCTTTCCATGCCAAGTATTCACTTGCTAGGGAAACAAAAGAACTAACGCGCCTTGATGACGGCGCAGAGATACAACTATTCATGCTCGATGGATGTCCGTATTGCATCTACGAAATTGAAGGCGCGATAGCGCGATGTGTGAGCTCGGAATGCTCCGCTACGCTGTCAATTAGGTGTCGCTCGAATTCGGAGCGACAGTGATGTGTCGCTCAGTTTCGAGAGAAAAGTTAAAAAACGAGGTTCGATTACACCCAGTGGTTTTTACCCCAATTTGTCTTTGTCGGGAAGCCAACGCATTGACAATTGTTTTCATCAAAAATTGAATTTAAAGCTAGATAAACCTTGACGTTAATTATAATTTCACCATTTCAGCAATTTTACTTATGAGCACCGACATTTTATTTCGGGGTTTGCACCCACACTTATCTGCCAACACAGAAGTGTAGTTACATTCTTTCGTGAGAGGAATGGCGATGGTAACCACTGCATTAGGACTTCCGCGCTTAAATCCCTTACGATTCTGATAACTTCACTGCTTTTGTACACCGTTAGTCTCACTTAAAACGCCGCGGACTCGTCCTCAAGGTCGCGTTAGGTTACGTAAAGGGGCGATTCCTCGGACAAAATAAATTTCAGTCGACAAGGAAAAAATATGAAAGGTCGTTCATTTTGATACACCTCAATTTTTCTCCGAGTCGCGCTGCACTGTTTACTTCTCCTCTTCTTCTGAAGTTTATGAGCACACGGGCAAGGAAATGACAGTTGCAGCAGTGGAGAAAGTTCCAGTTTAAACCCTCTTGGCGGCCGATTCGAGTCGGTTATTTATCTCTGTTCTTTACTTCCTCCTTCAGGAATTTCGAGGCTTGTGTTTTAAACCTCCGCCAAGTGCTACTCGAGGCTGTAAATAAACGGGAATTAATAACCATACCAATGATACGGTAGAGATAGTTGCGTTACATCGATTTTGGTTTTACATTTGGATTGGGATTTGTAAATTATCTGTGATGTTAGCATACGCATTTCAGCCACCGGCTAGCCATATTTTATCTATGCGTCATAACATCTAAAGCTTAGACAGAGCTTAAGGATTGTAAATGTTATAAAAGTACCTGCAAGAGGGATTTTATCCCGTAGAATGAGAGAGGTGAGAAACAGAGGACATTTAAATTAGAGTTTCATCTGTTCTGGAAGTTCAGAGACGGTGTCAAACTGCCCGATGTCGAGTAGACCCCGCGAAGCACTCATTTTTAACGTGGGTTTCTTGCAAAATAAATTGATGTAATCGATGATCCAAAAAAAACCAATGAATGATACAAAAAATACAGAGGACCAGTTTCAAAACATTATTTAGTCGAAATACGAATAGCAAGCTCATCATTTATAATGGAATTGTAAGTCCACTGTTTTGGGTATGTTACATGTCGGCATGTCACTTTTGTCTCAACCGTTTAAGCTTCCAACTCCAAATTGTAGCAGAGACGTACTCTACCTTGAGAGTACGCCTCTGTTAGGAGTACCTCGGACATACGTGAGAGATCGCGTATTTCCGAGGTGATCGCAGATAGGTGCTTTGGTTGGCGCGTGCCGCGCCAGGGTTACATCTTTTGGGCATTACTATATAGCGGCGGCCAAGCGGCCAGCGAGGGGTCAGTTGCGTACATGCGTACTTGCCGGTGATCGCCACCTTAGTGCTTTAGACGTCATCGTGAGTTGGGCTATTTCCCCATCCCTTACGCCTTTACAAAATAGTTGTCAAATTGTATAAAACACTTAACATTTCGTGGTAGTTTACACTTCTAACCAGTGAGTTTAACAATCAAAGCCGGGCAGGCCGAAAGAAAAATGTCCGATTATGGATAAATTATTAAAAATTGATTCATTTTAGCAGGAAGATTAATATTGGAACTCACTTATACTTGAACACGTTGTTGTAAAATTTTGTCGCATCACTCATTCACTCAAGAAGGCGAGAAAAGCTAAGTTAAACCATGCCTATAGAAAAATATTTTGAGCGATTAACATTTTTTAACAAAATATTTTGAGTTTAAATAATCTTTGTCTTGAAGAAGAATAGAATCAAACGGAAACTTTTCCAAATTGTAATTTTAAAAACTTTTTATTTTAAATTTTTACCATTTGTGGGTTTTGAGAGGCAGTCAAAAAATTTACTACCTAGCACTTCCATCGCGCTGGCAACAAAGCATGAAAATGCCCGAATTTTGTCACAATTTTTTCTCCAAATATCGCGGGCGTCACGGACTTTCGAACAGCTAAACGCTTTTTTCAAGTGTGGCCGGTGCCCACGCGACTAGTTCAGCGATATCATCAAAAACAAGAGACACCTGTACCTTGATCGCCAACCGTAACTACGTTCAATCAGCTTAAATTAACTTCACAGACGCAAAGACCCACTCCACTCCAAAAAATGAAAGCGTATTCGTCCCACAACGACCATAAAAGTGTGAATGTGTGTGATAAGCGCGGGTAAAAGTGAATTAGCGTTTAAGTTCTGAAAGGTGGGTGACTTTTGAGTCTAAAAGGTGAAACTGATTTATAGAGGATTCGACAGGTGTGATTTCTTCTAGAATCATTCCTCCAAATTTGAAAAGAGCACATACATACAGTTTGTCCGTAGATGATACACCCGCAGCCCGCACAGTTTTCTCCACCAATGATGATGGCGGAAGAGCGTCTAAAATCTAGCATTTTTACGTAGGTTATTGTTAGGGAGGACAGCCGTAAGTGCTATCTTCTGCATGCTTAAGTGGTTGTGTTTTGGCCACACAACATACACATTTTTAGGTCAGAAATTGGCAGAAGAGGGCGGCACTGTACTTGAAAGCACTGTTTTCATTGGCTCTCTAGAGGAATAATGTCACTTACTGCTGTCTTGCCTAAAACTACGACATTTTTTGCTCACTTACGGCTTTCCAATTATGTCTCGCTTTTATGAAAATGAGATGCTTTTTGCTGTTATAGCTATTTCAGTGATTTCATCTAAAAAGGTTAAGACGAATTGTGAAGGAAACTCGATTTCGAAAATTTGACACTTACTGCTTTCTTCACTATCACGGCAGTGTGATGCTGAACTGCGGAGTAACCATAGGAAACCCCTCGGTTATGCAATACCCAAGTGTTACTCATGTGGAGCTTTAGTCTGACAATTTGACAACAATGCATGTAGTCAACAGGAATGTTTCGTTCCTCGTACTCGGACGGTAACCGGGAGCAAGTGAAATAATTCAAACGCTCCCGCTCCGGTACTGCCCGCTGCGTTCCGTTCGGGGAATCCGTAACTCCTGCAGTGGCAAGCCGTGAACGATCGATTATTATCGATATTCCCCATTTGAATCTATGGTAAAGAATCGATTACTAAAGCGTTCGTTGCGAACACCCTGTTTATCGATCCTTTTCCGTAGGTTTAAACGGCAGACCAATCGATATATGGCACAGCACGCCTGGAATCCGTAACTCCTGCTACGCAACGCTCGGCAGTTATTCCGCCGTGCTGTAAGGAAGAACGCCGTATGAGCTTTCGAGAGTTGCCAAATTTCCTTCAGTCAAATGTTTAGTTTTGAGGAAAGTTATGAATATTTTTCCTCGGAATTTTCAGGAACTTTAGGTGAGATTGTACACAACATTATCGGAAAAATTGACAAAAAAAATATTCATTATAATTAACCAGGAAATTCGTATTTTATCAATCGAAATTTGGCAATGCCTGAAGGTTCATACGACGTTTATCCTTAGCACGGTAGCATTCCCCAGCTCCTCGATTTGGTCTCGGATTTTTCATCTGGCCATCTTGAGATGCCGACTCTGATATTCGATTAATCAGCAGCACCAGAATTCCGTCTAGAGTTTTTGAATATCTATCTCTCAAATGGAAATAATGTGAATTAGCACCTGGTGACATTGTGACCAAGAATGAGATGACTGGAAAAGCGTTGACATCCAGATATCGTGCGCAACAATGGTGTGAGTGTTTTGAATTTTTAAATTAATTATTAAGCCTTTTTTTATATTTTCAAAGTAATAAAGTTTCTTAGTTTTAAAGTGAAATCTGATATCACTCTATAATGTAAAACCATTAGAGTTTAATGCATAATGCACAACATTACGCCTGTTTGAGGGGTTGAACCGTGAAGCAGTCAAGGGATGAAGCCACGTAATGTGTTGAAAATGCGCACTCTATAAAGGAATCTTGTGTGATAAATTAAAAAATCTACCTGAAAACAACAGTTAAAGCCATCTTAAAAATACTAAGCACGGTCGACTTCTTTTCTACTCGGTCGTTAAAGTCTCTTGCCAAACCAATGGACCACTGGACGAGCTATTATCATTATGTGATTTGAGGGCATTTTCAATCGGATATAATCCTTTTTTCGGGATTGGAGATTTGGAAAGTATACTATGGAAGGTTTGCTTGAGGTTTGAGAATAACATGAGACAATGGTAGAAATTTTGAAGAGTTTGGGAAATTGGTCCGTAAGAAAAAAAAATCGAAATAACGACATGCGACTGTTATCTTGGAACTTTCTAAACTCAATGTATCAATCGAGTGGTGTCATCCCCAGAGATTATAACTTTTGTACAGTTATCTAATGAATTATTAAAAGCTCCATTTCAACCATTGTTTACGGAGAAAACAAAGTATTGCGATTTTGAAACTCACGAGAGTAAGTATAGATACGATTCTCAATAAATCAATCAGTAAGAAACACGTTCTCAAGGGCTAATGACAGATCTGGAACAATGCGATTGTAAAAAAGACGAACCAGCATCCTAGAGGCGTTAGCTTTGGCCAAAGTTGCTCACCTGTGGTGTAGTGCTTCCTGAAACAAAGAAAAAAACCGATGTGTTAATAAACAGGCATGCTGCAGGTTTCAGGCAACGCATGAGTAAGCGAAGACATAAAATAAAATGGAGAAAAAATTAAATGATCTTATTCTAAATCGACGGATTATAAAAATTAATTGCGAAAGGACGAGTGCGATAAATCCCTTGAACTTGTTTTAATTGGTCCTTTTTGGCTCAGGTTGCATGGCATTAGCGTCAAGGAGATTTTGATTACCCAAGAGAACTTGCTGGTTTAACTTATTATTTACTCAATAGTTAAAAAAAAGGAGGAATTTTTTACAAATACTAAAGCACTTAAAATACAATCTTCATCTAAGAGTACATTATGAGACGAAAAAAATACTCATGAAGTTTCGGATACCTTTAATCTAACCTCTTAATCCTAAAATCTCGTCGGCGCGGATATCATTGGGACTACATTTTGCAATTTGGAACTATAAATTCTAGCTCAGTTTAAAAACAATGTATGTGCCATTAGTTTCCCAATGCATATGAGTGTTTTTTCATATGAGCCAAAATTTATAGTTCCAAATTGCAAAATGCAGTCCATTTATTCCATTAACGTACGATATTAATACCATTCATGGATTAGTGTTCAACAAGAGCAGTTACTTTTTACTGTCATGCTCTTGGGCATCTTAACATGAATTTCGGTTGTCACAAGTGGAATATAAGGGCGGGGAGTATTTACTGGTCGTTTTTTGACTTTCAGATGCAGATTTTTACTTCAATCAAGTGTGTGAAATATTAAATACTGATTCATGATAACAATGGTAATCAGTTTCAATATAACTGAGGAGCAAACTGTTAAGATGACCCACCACTGGATGACATCAGGAAAGAACGTGGTGAGGTACATTTGAACTACATGTTGCAATTAGGAACTATAAATTGTGCCTCAGTTTAAAACCATCGTACATTAGTTTCTCTATCTAGATAAGTGCTTTTACAGATGAGTCGGAGCTTATAGTTCCGAATTGCAAAATGAGATCCATATAGTGTTGCTTGTGAGTTAATAAGCTGTACATCGATGGTGAAACTGCAGAAATGTGTTTATCGGTTTGGAGCTTGAAAGCTTCCTTTCATACTTAATTTTCTACCTTGAAAGCTTAATGAACGTCATTCCTTGACAATTTCGTTTATTTTTCTTCTCCATGTGAAGATTCTTTCGTGAACATTTTAAATCATACTTTTGGTCAGGTCTCCTTTAAATAATAAAACAGAAGGGGTGATTATGAAACACCTCCAACGAATTACGCGTTTTTGCAGTTTCATTATCAGTATTTTATACAAAAATAATCTATATTTTTGGAAGGACATCGTAAACAAGAGCTAAGCTTTATCGCTGCGATATTCCTCCCACAGCTTGAATATTCCCCTTACTTAATCACGGATAGTTTTGCTCTCAATTTTGTTTTCGCGGTACACATAAAAGCTTGCACGGTTATTACTTGGACCCACTTGATAGGTACTACTTAAAGTTTTCTTCCTGCGTTTAGAGCCTTTCCCTTCTAATGAGGTAAAACAGTTTTGAAACGTTTTGGCAACATTGTAGAATGTTGTTTCGCTCGTCGTAAATAAGCGATCACTCTTTGTCAGAATCTTTAGGGCAGAGATGTCGATTTTTGCATGAATTTGTGTTTTTAATGATACTAGCTGCTCCGGACGCCCTACGGGCGCCCTCCACAGCTAGCAATGGTGGTGAGTACCTTAATTGGAATCGGAGCAATTAGTTGAATCTACTTAATAATGATGAATAAAATGTCTGTAACAATACGTGTTGTTAGCAATACGCAATACTGCAGTTAATAAGTCAGGGTCAGTCAAGCCGCAGAGAATAAGATGCCAGGATATCAAGAAGCTGTGAGGCAGAGTAGCCGAGGGATGGCGAAGGAATGTGGGTGGCGAGTGACGAACTGACGAACGACGATGCGACCCAAACTTCCTTCTTTGAGGTTGGTGGAAGGAGAGCTATACGAAAGAAAACGGAGATAGCCGAAAGAACGTGGTGGGAGGGGTGGCTGAGACCCTAGAGGGGGTATCTAGGGACGGGCAAGCAGGTAGCGGCCGGATGACCGCTCAAAACAGCTGAACTTTACTCGTCGATAAAAGTAAGAAAATTTGAGAAAATCGAAAAAACAATTACAGCCTGCAAATCTACAGATCAGAAGCTTTCATTTAAAAAAAACCCCATGCAAATCGGTCCGATGGTTCTCTCAAAGTTAATGCCCCAAAATGCGGACTTTAGTCAGAATAAATGGGAGAAAATTTGAGCCCAGCTAAACTTCACTCGTTGATAAAAGTAAGACAATTTGAGAAAAACGAAAAAACGACCACAGCCTGTAAATCTACAGATCACAGGCTTTCATTTAAAAAAAACCCCATGCAAATCGGTCCGGTGGTTCTCTCAAAGTTAACGTCCAAAGATTCGGACCTCCGTTTTAATGCATCGAAGACAATTTTAGAAAATTATGGGAGAAAATTTGAGAAAATAAAAAAAACGATCACAGCCTGCAAATCTACAGCTCAGGGGCTTTCATTTAAAAAAAATCCCATGCAAATCGGTCCGGTGGTTCTCTCAAAGTTAATGCCCCAAGATTCGGGACTTTGCATTTTAATATATAGGATTATATTATACCTACACGAGATTTCGTAGACGTTAGAGGCACCGCGTCTAAGAGGCTTGAAAAATTTGACGAAATAACGGCAGCGCTGAGTATCAAGTAGTTTGGGCGGTTCCTAACTTTGAAAAATTGCTTGCTTCTGAATTAGAATCAGTTTCTGGAACTTGTTTCGAATAGGATCACTATGTATAAGCTGGTTAAGCTTGCGCAACAATCATGATGATGAGAGGTGGCTCTCAATTAAGAATCGTAGCACATTTTTGTAATTTTAGAAGACAAACGATATTTTTTAGACAGGTTATAAGCAATCTATTTAGAAGACGGTAGTGCTTAATACCGTTTAAAAGTCAATTTTTTCAAAAATAAGAAATAATAAGAATTAAATAAAGCCAACCATCTGCATTCACAGCGTGAAAGAAGGAAAAGTCTAGGTAAGTGTTATGTTAATGTGAGCGAAAAAATCAGAGTAATAGTGAATTTCCATGAGCTCTACGATAATTTAGGAATTTTGGTCCGTAAATTTTTTACTAGAATGCGTAAAACGTGAAGTCGTAATTCCAACGATATCTATTCTTCCGTGCTAAGGAAGAGCGGCACATAAGCCTTCAAACGTTGCCTTAGTTCCTTCATTAAAAAACGGATTTACTGGGAATATTTTGTTTATTTTTCTTAAAATTATTTAGACTATTTAGTTCGCAATTGAACCTAAAATATTTGAAATTTTCTAAAAAAAAGCATAACTTTTCCCAAAAATTCATGGTTTATCCAGGGAATTTGGACACCTCTCTAATGCTCATACATCGTTTTCACTTAGCACGGCAGTATTGGCCAATGAAAGGATGGAAGGAATCCTCTCCCCTCACCTCACGAAATTACAGCACTCACTCTCACTATCCAGATAGAGTAACCAAGCAACAGTAATTAGAGCACCGCGGGTAGAAAACGAGAAAAAAAACTCTATTACCGGCACTCAGATAAACTGCATTAATCACCAATCCGCCTCACGGATCTCTTACTTCTTCTTCTTCTTCGATCGAATTTTTTCTGAAACCGACTCGACGAAGAACTTGCAGACCCCATTAGTCGCCTAATTAACACCGTTATCAGAGTTCCAGGCACAGACCCGAAATCGGTGCCAATACCACCGAACTGGGAAAGAACGGCGTATGGACCTGCAGACGTTGCCAAATTTCCGTAAAAAAATTCTAACACAAAATTTTATAAACAGTTTAAATTTTTAGAGGGTGAGTATTAAAACAAATTAAAAGAAACTAAAAAATTATAACTAAATAAAATTAATAATTTATAATTAGAGAAAATATAAAATACAGGTAGTCAAATAAAATTTTAATTAATTTAACTATTTAATTACAGAAAAATATAACATACTTATATCACATGATTATACTATATTATACTAAATAAATTAAAATTAATGATTAGGCAAATCTCAAAGTTTCCAACGGTTTATCGGAAGCACAGTTTAAGAAAAATACCTTAATAAATGAGTCTCGCCCAATGACGGAATTAAATACCTGCACTAATCATCCGTACTACGGTAGCATAGTAAATTGTTAAAAAATTAGTTGATTCATTCTACGAAATTCAAGGGTAATTTTGGAATATCTTCAATTAAAGTTTTCGGCGAATTTTACGCACAATTCCATCCGAGGAATCCGAAAGCTTCCAGGGAAAAATGCATGATTTTCCTCAAAAATACATATTTTTTCAAGGAAAATTTGGCAATGTCTGTAAGTTCATACGGCGTTCTTCCTTAGGATGGCAGAATGCTTAGGCATCGCGCATGCGCAATCGTACGGAGCAGTGCACGGGAGTTACGCAAGGAGTAGGTGTGGAGTCCAAGTCGTGAACACGCGCTCAAATCAAATCAGAAATTGTAACAAGCCAACAATAACAATAATCAAAGCGAACGGCCGTCAACTCAACTTTCGAACGATGCTGCCGGCGTTGCCTTCCTCGTTTAAAAAAGACAAATTATAATAATAAAATAAACAACGATGGAATTAATGCCACGGTTTCCTAAGGAAGCTAATATTGAGCTCCTACAGACGTGACGTTTTGCATATAATCATTAGAACCTATAAATCAATTCTTACAGCACAGCGATGCTAATCTCAATTGTAAAATTTGATTATTTCCCATACAATCATCTTTTATTTTCTCAAGGAAAAACTAACCACAACGTTAATTTGAAATTTTCTTAAAAAATATTTAGACGAGTAAAGAAAATTACAAAAAATCCACTGGAAACTATTGGTTTTTTCGTTTCGAAGAGATCTCGCTTGAACAGAGACTTGCAGCGGTTGTTGAAGAGTAACGGTTTTGTCGGA